CCGGGAGGGCTCCGGCCGGGACAGCCGCCACCTCCGCCTTCGGCCACGGCCGCGCGGACACAATCACCGGCTTCGTGGACCAGGCGACTCAAGGTACTTAAGCCTCTTCTGCGCCCGCCCATCCCGTCCGGTCCCCGGAGTCGTGCCCTGCTGCATCCCTTTCGGGGCCTCGGTCCCGCACGTCCCGGCCTCAGCTGTTAGAAAGAAACTTCGCCAAGGCCAACGCACCCGCAACAGCTGCGCCTGGATTGCAGCGCGAGTCGCGGCAACTTGCAGGGCCTGGCCCCAGAGGGCTGAGCGGGCTCCTGTGCCGGGGTGCCCTGGCCTTGCCGGCCAGCCGGTCCCATCGAGGAGGCAGGCTGAGTCCAAGATCCTCTTTTGGGGGGAAGGGTCTGGAGTTGCCTCGGGCCCAGAGCCCTCAGAGAAGAAAGGAGGACAGGAGTGGGGACTTCGGAGGTCTCAAGAGGGACTGCGCAATGATGATGGTGGTGGCTGCGTCCTTGCTGCAATTTCTGCAGCTCCCAGTCTCGTGGGATCCGCACAAATTGGGAAAAACCTAGGGGAATCCGGGGCAGAGGCAGGTATCAGACAAAAATAAATGACCCCTGAGAGGGAGAGGCTGGTCTCATCACCAGGTATGAGGAAGGGCCCTTCTCGGCAAGCTGCCGGGGTGGTGGCAAAGTGTGTAGCAAGCAATGTGTGTGCCCTGTGCTGGGCCCCGGGAGAGCCAGAGGTCCAGGACCCTGGTTGTGTGGGGAAGAGAGGCCGCTGGGGGAGACCGTGCAGGAATGCAGGCCTCTCTTGGACCAAGTGCCCAACCTTACTCTGCCCTGGGCCCTCCAAAGGTAAGACGTGGGTGAGGACGTGTGGTGGTTGCTGTGTGTCATCTGGATTTTATTAATCTCCATTGAAATCATTAAAGCAGACAGATAGGGAAAATTTAACTAATTTCAGGCGGAAATGCAAGTAATTTCGGCCCTAATTCCATCCAGCCAGAGACCCAGCCTGGGAGGCAGGAGGGAAAGAATGGCGAATAGGGTTGAAAAGTAAGTGCTGCAGGTCCGAGGTGGACCCTGCCGGGAACCACTGACAGGCTGTGCACTTTGGGTCCTAGCCTGGGAAAACAGATCATCCATCCTCCCCACCCTCAACACACATAATGCCTAGCACAGACGGCTTTATTTTGGGTGCATGGAAATCCTGGGCCCACATGGCCCTGTGGTTCATCAGAACTATCAAGCATTCTCTGAGGCCTGACATGACATCCGGACTGGAAGCTGAATTCTCATAGGAAGCCCCAGTCCTGGTGCACAGGGCCAGGGAAGGCCTCAGACTTAAGGCTGCCACTACCTTTTGGTTTCCCAGGTTGCAGGAGGCGGTGTGTGTGGTGTGTGCACAGGGTTAGTTCAAGCTAGGTCTACCATGGCATCAGCTGGAGTTAAATCTTTTACTCAGTGAGCTCCACTTGGCTGGCAAGGCCTGGGAGGCTGCCTCTCCTTCCTCCCTCATGGGGGAGCACAGCTAGGGCCCCGGAGCAGGGAAGGCCGGCGAGGGGCTGCAGGGGAAGTTAGAGAAAGTGCTCAGGCAAGGCCTTGGGAGAAAGCAGGGGAGGGGAGCACTTGCCCAGTGGCTCTCCTGCCTCCCTCTCCACCCTGAGCTTCGACTTGCAGCAGAGTTGCTTGGGGTCCCCAAAGGCCACAGACAGAGTCCACACCTCGGACTGAAGGCATCAGGGCCTGGCATCCGTAGCTGGTGAGCAAATAAATCCCTCAAATCTCTCTGAGTTTGGGGTAAAACGAAACCATATGACCCCCTTCAAAGGGAGCTCCTTATCTGCTGCTTGGTAGTATTTAAATTTTTTTTTTCTGAGCCCCCAAAGAAAAAAAGTGCCCACAACCAGAAATAAAACCCCAAGCCCTCGATAAGTTACAAGAGAGGGGAGGAATAAGCCCGCGGTGGGACCAGCGGGCCCTGGCTGAGACCTCACCGGGGCCGCTGCCCTCACTGCAGCAAGGCCGTCCCCTTTCCAAGCAGTTCCTCCGGCTCCTTTGCCGCCTTTCCCCTCCTTCGGAGGCGGCGGGGTGCCTTGAGGAGCCGAAACTTGGGTTCTCGATCGATCGCGACCAGCCGCGCTCATTGCTGTGCGACCTTGGGCGAGCCTGGCCCCCTCTGGGCCTCGGGTCCCCTTCGGCAAAGCGAGGAGGTTGGACCAGGGAGTCTCTGCAGCCTGCTGCCGTATTCCCTTTCCGGACGACCCGCCGGGCCCCAGCCTGCATGGGATGTGGTGGTCGGCGGGTTTGTCCAGGCTGGGAAGGGCGAGAGAGGTGGCAGAAGAGGAAAGAGTTTTCAGGGGGACAGGACGTTTCCGTTTTCGCACAGCAAGAACTCGCGGCGGCTGTCCCGGGGGCTCAGCAGGTTAACATCAAGCGGTCCCCACGCAGCGCGGGACCTCAGCAAGGGGCGCACGGCTTCTGATCCGCTCACCGGGCCTCGGTCCTCCTGGCCCGGAGGTCTGGCCTCCGACCCTGTCCCGGCAAACCCATGGCTCTGGAGGAGGCAGCGGAACTGTAGAGGTCGTCAGTCCGGGTCCCGGGTGCGGGGATGCGCTCCTGGCCCCCAGGCTCAGCGATGTGTGGTATCCGTGGGTTGTCGCCGTGCCGTAACTCACGGCACGATGGCCCAAAGCCCTGGTGCTGACAGTGCCGGCGAAGCCTCCTTTTGCTTTGGGCCAGGCTGGCAGCGTCGAGGCTGGGGCTGAGACGTAGGGGCGGGCGCCGGCTCAGGGGTGGCCGGGCCACTTGCAGTTCGGAGGTGCCGCGGCCGGAGGGAGTGCGGGCTTCGCTCTCACTTCTTTCCTTCTCTCTTTCTCTGCCGGTCCCCTGCAGACGAACCTGCCGCCGAGACCGGCCAGAGCTTCCTGTTCGACGTGTCCAGCCTTCCCGACGCTGACGAGGTGGTGGGCGCCGAGCTGCGCGTGCTGCGCCGCGAGTCTCTGGAGCCGGGCCCTGGTGGCGCGAGTCCCGCGCCGCTGCTGCTGCTGTCCGCGTGCCCGG